TCAACGTAATTGATGACTATTGTTACAATGTTGATAACGTCATTTATTTTGAGGCTAATAGCGATGTTGACAGGATGTCGAAATATTCGATTAGAAAATGAGACTGAGTATATGTGTGAAACAGGTGTTTTTCTTGGGGAGGCATGGGAAACATGGGTATTTAGGTCGAGATATTTCGTGGTGGAAGACAGAGGGGAATCATATAGGGGTGGTTTGTGTAATGCTGCATATTATAATAGAATGCTTACTGATCTGAAATGTGTCTACAATGACAGTCTGTTGCCGCATTCTTTATGAAGCGAAGTAAGGGTAATAGAAGGGTCGCGTCATAGCTCAAGCGGTTAGTCGCTGGCTTCCCACCGCGGCGGCCCGGGTTCGATCCCGGGTCTGGTCAAGTGGGATTTGTAGTGAACAAAGTGCTGCTGGGGCGGGTTTTCTCCGAGTACTTCGGTTTCCCCTGTCAATCTTAATTCGATCAAAATCTCCATCATCATAATCACCCGGGGCAGGCTACAATAGGCCAATCTGTGGCCGCCGTGCCGAGTGGACCCAGTTGGACTCCACCCCCCACTATGAGAATTTCATTTTAAAAAAAGGGGGAACAGAACGAAGAAATTAAGTATTCAGCGCCATGGGAAACATTAATTAAATATTATCACTATTATTCATAATGTGTATATATTAACAGTCTTCAAGTGCATACAATCCCATCTACCACTTCTGCACTACATGTTTCGGCAGTATGCTGCCATCTTCAGGTGTATCGATCCGTCAACCATTTCACTGCTTGCCTTTATATGTCCATTTACAAATAATATTAAATCTGTATACGTCCTTACATAATAATAAAGTTTATGTATTTAAAACTTGTTAAAACCTATTATCTCCTACGTCATATTTTTAAATTCGTGTGTATTGATCATTCACATGGGGGTCGTTCTTCTTATGTTTCTGATGTTGTGCATATATTATGTCTTATGTTGTATCGTTGGATCCACAAGAGTAGAACACATCATAAGACATAATTTACACGCTTGGAAACCGGGATCGTTGGTTCGAATCCCAGTCAGGGCATGGATGTTTAGTTTGTGTGTGTGCGTTTTTCTGTGTTTGTGTACAGGTAGAGGCCTTGCGACGAGCTGATCACCCGCCCAAGGAGTCCTACCGAATGTGTAAGATCTAGAAAAACCGAAGTGAACGGAGAAGTTCATGGAGGTAGGCCTAGGCCTACTGGGGCTGTAGCGCCAATGAAAAAATAGAGAAAGAAAGAAAAAACTATGAAAGTGTAATCCAACAACATCTCTATCTCTCAATACACGGGTCTGTATTACACAGGTCAGCCGCATCCTGGTGGTCGGATTTTGTTGACAGCAGGAACATACTTCCATACCGAAAAGTGCAGTTTCATTGTCTGATAACCTTATAACGAGACGTGGTAATTCATGTGCTCTGAAATTCTATTTGTATATGCCAGTACAGTCCTTTGAAAGTCAATCGGGTTTCGGTTCCTCCGAAACGCTGACCGGCATTCACTGGACTGTACTGGGTTATATCCCACAGGACAGAACTGGAGAACCTCGTAATTAAAGTTAGTTTCCCTGCAACAGGACCTGAAGGTCCATAGGTTTCTGAGACGTCGAGGCTCCCACATTTTCTTTAGACAATCGGCTAACAGATGGCGATGAGTTTGTCAGCCTTATTCACCGGCCGCCCTTTACTCCCAGGAAGATTCCTGGTACTCATTTCTGTAAGAGGCTCAGTCGACCCCCAGGGCCATAGTGCAGCTGGAAGGATTAGGTCAGTTGAAGAAAATCCACCTCATCGGGACTCGAAACTGCGACCTTCCGGCTTGTAGCATAGTACCTCAACCAGCTACGCTACCGCGTGCCTCCTGTAAGAACTTCGCTTTCTATACACTGTATTCTAAGAACTAGGGTAAAGAAGAGAAGCTAAGTAAATTAGGAAGTGCGTCAGAAAGAAATCTGATTAAGCATCGGGACAGTGCCGTAAACGTAAATTTCAACTGACTGCTATGCTGCTTGGTACAGCCAGCTCATAAATTGATCAAAGTATTGTGAACCCTACTGCTTGGATGTGAGTTTCAGCTATCCCACTGTAGAGTCAGCGGCAGTAACTTCGAATCGTGACCAAGAAAACTTTAAAATTATGTAGACTTCATGCTACGTTTCAATAATAGATTACTTACACAAGACGCGGAGAATTTATCTATTCGAACAAAATAATAACTGTAAGATTTGAGGCTTTCACGGCGGTGACTATGAAGAAAGCAACGTGTAGATGTGGTGTTAACCGACGTTTCGGAGGAACGTATCGCCTCCATCTTCAGGGTTGAAGGAAAAATAAGAAATCCGCATGAGACCGTGAGAACCGGTACAAGCAGTCTGCTTGTTCGAAACATTTAGTTCTTGTCCCAGGCAGTGTCGTCACGCACACCTCACTTACATATATGAACATGTTTTGCGATATATACCCATCATCATGTACCATATTATATTGTACATAAGCCGGCACACTGCTAGACTTCACAATCCATTATTCGTTGAAGTTTTAACTGTTTAAAACTGGAGGTTAAAATCCAAGCTATGTGGTGTGGTGTTGATTGATAAGTGGTTCCAGAATGGGTATTCTCGGTCTATTTTACCAATCAGTACCACACCAAACAAACACAAGAAGAGAGCCTACAAAACAACTGCACCAAGCACCGAAAAACAAAAAACAGCGAAAGGAACCAATTTCTTTAACTGGTATTAATCTCGTATTAATGTATCAGAGCTTGCATTTCCAGTTTCCAGTTTCAAACAGTTAAGCTTGACAGTTCAGTGAATAATAACGGACTGTTAAATCTGTCAGTGTACCAACTCATGGACAATGCTTGTAGGTACTTGAAGATGGTTAAACTACTCGACGAAAAACATGCTGTCATATGAGTTAATACTTAAATGTAAGTGATTTTGCATAAAAACCACACGACATGGGCCATAAACTGAGTTATACATACAACTTAGTAAAATAACACACAAAAAAAGATCCTCACAAAGCAGAATTCCGAATTTGAGCCCCGTTTCTTTCTAATGAAATTTCATGGGTTAAGTTACACAGAGGTACCCCGCCGCCGCCTGTGCCCTGAGGTCGACTCAGCCTCTAACATAAATGAGTACCAGGAACATTCTTGGGGGTAAAGGGCGGCCGGCGCATAAAGCTGACAACCTTGCTGCCATCTATGAGCCGATTGTCTAGAAAATGTGGGAACCTCAACATCTCGCAACCCTATGGGCCTCCATGCCTGTTACTGGGATACCTTTACTCTTGTACTTTTTATCACGCCGCCTCTAACATTCATTCCACCAACCTATAAATTTACCACGCACTACTAAACATCACGAGAGGCAGATCTGCAAACCGCTTTGCGTCGGCGTCATTTACAGCTGTAAAATCTCATGCCAAGTTATATTTTACACCTTCGGGTTCTATATGTGATAGGAACACCTGCTTAATGAGCACAGCATCACACATCCTCCTCAGAGCCAGTGCATCCGCGGTTATGCGGTTCTAATGGAACTGCCATGAATCTCTGTGGGCGAGAAATACTTGAAATTTGCATCAGAATACCCAAAGAAAATTGATCATTCGCGGGACCTGGAGGAAGTCCTTTGTCATTACAAACTAGTAGGCTATTTACTTCCCACCTATGCATCAATGATTATTGTTAAATTATTAGGAGAACGCTATGTTTCGACATGACTGTGTCATCTGAAGGTCATGTGTGTAATGCGCACACTGTATTCAAATAATTCACATGTATAAAATTTGTTACCATTTTATTCAAATGGACATAATTCAATAAAACCAATGACGGATCATCTCTGTAGAGTGGTTAGCGTTCCTGCTTCATATCCCGGAGGTTCAGAGAGATTAAACCTTGGTCCGGAGACTTGCTAACCTGAGTAAGGTTTGTAGTGGGTTTCTTTCAGGCAAACGCACTGTTATAACGCCATATTAGGCCACAGCCGTTTCATTACACATCCTTTGGTATTCACTATTCAATAAACATCCTATCATTAGACACTACATAAACTGAGCTATTGAAATAAACCTTCACTGAGTAGAATGACACTCGTCAAGGTTGCTAAGTTCAGCGTTAAATAATTTGTCAAGTATAATTCTGCAAATTGTTGGCTCTGAGATGGTTACACCCCTCATACTGATTCGTCTGTTTCTTCGTTAAGTGTAAGTGGTGCTGTTTTCTAGGGGGTTTCCTGACTGAATTTACATACACATTTATTGTTCCCTATATCCAGCCCGCATTTCTAGACTTAAGCTCAGTAGTTCTGAATAATTAATTAAGCCCAGCTAATATCATGAAGCAGCATAAATTAACAGAGCAGCACACCCTAATGTTACACAAATTTATAGTATACATTAACATCCAGGGCCGATCACAGTGGCCGCAGGGTCTAAGTCATGAAATGTCTTCGCTCTGTCGAACACTGGGATCGTGGGATTGAATCCCACTCGGGGCATGGATGTCTGTGTGCGTTTATTCTGTGTAGGTAGCGGCCTTGAGACGGGCTGATCCCCGCCCAAGGAGTCCTACTGACTATGTATGGATTAATACACTGAAAAAGCGACCAAGGTCCATAACGGCTGTAGAGCCATAGATAGATTTCCCTTTGAAATGTAACTTAAGGTAAAGCAATCCCTGTAACAGGCCGTGGAGGCCCATAGGGTTGTGAGACGTCTAGGCTCCCACATTTTCTAGGCAATCGGCTCACAGAGGGCAGTAAGCTGTCAGCCTTACGCGCCGGCCGCCCTTTACTCCCCAGGAAAATTACTGGTACTTATTTCTGTTGGAGGTTTGTCGACCCCGGGGTCACATTACGGCTGGAAGGATTAGGTCAACTGAGAAATTCAATGACCTCAGTACATAAAAAACACAAAGATAATGTTCTCTAATGTGATTAAGAACTTTTCAAACTTACTTTCCATTCTGAGTCACCAGTCTTCCACTGTCCACGGCGACACTGTGGCGCTGGGATTTCTCCAGTTTCTTATTAACTGAAACAACAGACATAAGCAGAAGGTTACTTAACATTTAGAATGCTCTAAAGTAAAAATACTTACCTGTTACTACGGTAACACCTGTCCGATAACAGCTACTTTCAGGAGTGTTTGCCGAACGTCTGGGTGAAGTGAAAAAGTGAAGCTATCCCTGTACCAGGCCGTGGAGGCCCATGGGGCTGTGAGATGTTGAGGCTCCCATATTTTCTAGACAATTGGCTCACAGAGGGCAGTAAGCTGTCAGCCTTACGCGCCGGCCGCCCTTTACCCCCCATGAAGATTACTGGTACTTATTTCTGTTGGAGGTTGTGTCGACCCCAGGGTCACATTGCGGCTGGAAGGATTAGGTCAACTGAAAAAAAAATCAATGACCTCATCGGGACTTGAACCCGCGACCTTCCGGCTTGTAGCACAGTGCCTCAACCAACTACGCTACGAAATCTAATTCCAGCCGGAATCGCTTTATTCGGGTGACACTTTCGAGGATCTCCTCAGACTCTCCAAATATGTGCTGCTATATTGTTTCCTTCCCGAATCACACATAACGATCCCTTTTGGATTCCACGGTACACTGTGTAGCTGATGTCATTAGGCAGCCTTAGAACAACTGCCGTCATCATTACTAACAGCATACCAAGTACAAATTTTCGCATGAAATAAATTCAGGTGCTTCATTATTTGTGAAAGTTACTGTACCGCAGATGATGGATGGGCGGGCGAATCTTGCTTTACGTAGTAGCCGGGATAGCTCAGTCGGTATGGAGACTGGTTACTGGCTGGACGACCAAGGGGTCGGAGTTCAAGTCCCGGTAGGGTCAAAAATTTTCTCTTCTCCATGTCGTCTAGACTGGCTCTTGGGTCCACAAGGCCCCCTATCCAATGGATACCGGAAGATGTTTCACCGAGGGAAAAGCGGCCGGGGCGTCAACCTGACCACTCACCTCCAACTAGTGCCGAGGTCAAGAAAATGTGGATCTACACATCCATTCCCCCATACGTCTTCATGGCTTAATGCTTAATTAGTTAAGCATACGGACAACATTACCTTTACCTCGCTTTGCGCAATGTGGAGAGCGGTAAAGGCGGCCACCGAACGTCCCTGCTTCGTATTTGGGAAGTCTCGGGTTTACATGTCGGTTCTGAAACCGGTATACTGGGATTCTGCGTGGTTTTTGTTCAGTCCCTCCAAGCAAATAACGGTATAATCCTTTCGGCCGCGACTACATCTTTCCGTATCATCTCCGAGTCATCAATCATCATATAATTCGACGCCCGATAGTAAGAGCTTGCAGCATCTTTAAACAAACCATAAATAAAACAGATCAAACACTTTAAGGGATCATCGATAAACCCTCCCGGAGAATAAGGAAGTGAGAGGGGCTGCGCAAAACTGTATACTGAAGAACTCTTCGACAGATATTATTTGGACGATCAGTTGAAGGATGCTATGGGCGAGGCATGTAGCTTGCATAGGAAAACATAAATGCGCATTAACATTTTCGAACGGCAGTCTAAAGGGAAGAGACCACTGGAGATATATAGGTGTCGTCAGGATAATTTTAAAATGGATCTTGCTGGGGCATGATACGGCAGCGTTCAACTGATGCAAAATAGATATCAGTCGCGGGCTTTTGTAAACCTTCGGTTTCATTAAGAGACGGCGAATTCCTTGATTAGCTGAGAGTCTAACTTCTTAAAAAAGCTGTTCTCCTCGGAGAAAATTAGTGAACCTCGTACGTCACTGGTCTATTCTAACGCAGAAGCATTCCATTACGTCTAGCGGCTGTCCGCTCTCGTATCTATCCACTTATATTTCTTTTACTGACTGAGCCATCACTGCCGATCAGCATTACCGTCAATGCAGGCACGATTACCCGTTCCTTCGATAGAGTTCAGCACTGATATTAGCTTGTAAAACACCAAAATGGCAACGCCTCCGACATTTCGCGTTTATGAATCTTTCACATCATTCGTATGGAGGATGAAAACAAACGACAAAAATTCTACCGTCAGAAGTTTCGAGATAGACATAATTTTTGCGACGTTTAGAGAATGTTGTTGGAGCCTGAGATTAGGAATTACGGAGTTTCCCCCTCAAACTTCCACACTTCAGAGTTTCAGGCCCTGTAATTTTAGGGCATTTCCGCAGACTTCTATGCCAGTTTTGAATACAACCTCTTGTGCTATGAATGACAGTTTCGTACTTAGCCAAACCAATTCAGCAGGTCTGAAATGTGCTACTGACCAACACAGTTGACACCTGTTCTTGACTCGCAAAACCAACCATTTTTTATACTTGGGTTATTTCACGATGCTGTGTAGTGGAGGTGAGAAGGGAGTCACTAATGGTGATTCCCGATTCGTAGATTTCGCGACGTTTTTCCAACTGCATCGGCTACAATGCACCGAATAAGAAATTGTGCGATGACTCAGAACAGTGAGTGGATAGAAGTTGGTAGGAGGTTTCCATGGTTGCCTAAAAACGCTGAGAAACCCCAGCGCAAGCGAAATATACCGACCGAGCCACCGCCGCTTGTCTGCGAAGTTAGTACCAACTTTTGCGGATAGAGGGTGTCGCGTGGTCGGAGCAACGAATCCCCACGGCCATTAATTTAGGTTTTCTGGACCGGAGCCGCTATTTCCAGACCCACTTCTTCTCAGAATCTCTGGTAGAGCCGGGAACCGAACCCGGGACCTGTGGATCTTTAGCCAGGAACTCTGACCACTAGACCACAGAGACGGTCAGAATAGTCAGTATTCTGTCCGTAATGTGAATCAGAATTATGGCGAAATATTGATAATATATAACTTGGCGAATATCCGTGTATAATAAAGGTCGGTTATAATAAATCGATATTAATATTCGCATATCGTGCAGGAAATGGGGGGAAGTTCTTTAATATATAGAAAAATATTAGCCGTCTAAAACAATAATCTGTAGGAACGAAAACAAAAATAATTTTGAAACCTCCCAGATACTATCTCGGCCGTTTGCCTGGAGATACTGATGCAAACATTGGCTACGTTCCGCCCACTGTTGCAGACCTGACGCTCCCGAACACGGATATCTTGCCTCTTTTGGGTACAGCCCTGTGGCAACAGCCCGCATATGAAGGTGCGCAGTAAACATGAATCACCACATAGTTCCTGTAGCCGGTCACAGAGGCCGCGCGGTCTAAGGCACGGACTGTCTTCGCTCGCTCGAACACTGGGATTGAGGGTTCGAGTCCCACTCAGGCAATGGATGTCTGTGTGCGTTTAATTCTGTGTTTGTGTTGTACTGTGTGCAGGTATCGGCCTTGCGACGGGCTGATCCCCCGTCCAAAAAGTCCTACCGTCTGTGTATAGAATTAAGGAAATGAAAAAGCGGCTAATGTTCAACAAAGAGCTGCAGAGCCATAGACAGATAGATAGATAGATGAGGCCGCGCCATAGCTCAAGCGGTTAGTCACTGGCTTCCCACCGCGGCGATCCGGGTTCGATCCCAGGTCTCGTTAAGTGGGATTTGTGGTGTACAAAGTGGCGCTGGGGCGAGTTTTCTCCGAGTACTTCGGTTTCCCCTGCCAATCTTCATTCCACCAAATTCTCCATCATAATCACCCAGGGAAGGTACAATAGGCCAATCAGTGGCCGCCGTGCCGAGTGGACCAAGCTGGACTCCACCCCCCCACTAAGCGAATTTTAGATAGATAGACATGCGTGTAGTTCTTGTACAGTATAAGTACTGTGCCACACCCGACCATCGAAAAGTGAGTGCGCATCTAGGCTCAAGAGCGCTAGCCACAACACAAACCTTTAACAAACTACACTGTATAGGATTCAGCAGGCTCCGCTGTCTCAACAGGAAACTAGTTACTGTTCTCATATCCCCAAAGGGGATCACTGAGCCAAATTCCAGGACGTTTCCCGCCCAACAATAGTCTCTAAGGCCTCCGATAGATGGGGGAAGCATTATAGACACCGCTAAGCAAGTGGCCGAACTCGCTTGCTCGGCGGGACTGTGGTACGCACCATTTATCGGTAGGGTAAAGAGACTGGTGGAATGTCATAGAGGGAAGCACAATAGATGAAACTGGTCGCGGTGCATGGGGAAACCCACCCTCTCTAAATAACTAACTACTGTTCTCTTGATGTGCTGTGATATATCACAAAAGGTAGGTCGGTATGTATGGACACAAGTTAAGCATACGGAACTCTTGTGGAGACACTTGTCTGCGGCAAAGCGCGTCCCGTAGAGTTCCAAACCTCCAAAGTAATTTGCTTCGGTCTAGACAGGCTGCAGAGTTTGGCATATACACGTAAAATATTAATATAATTCCTCAGAATTTGTGCCACTTTTTCTCGCTGAACAGCACGCAGACCAGTAAATAAATAAATAAATAAACAGCGTATGCGAGCTTTAACAAGAACGTAATCTAATCTGGAAGACCTCTTTGAAAGATCTGGCCATTGATTTGAAGATGGAAGCATAAGCAGCTTCCGAAACTATGCGTTTTAATATAAATTTTAACGTTAAGAGTGTAGTAGTATTCGTAGAATTTCAAATACAGTATTTATTTTGCTCAGAGCTAAATTTGTCGAACGTAACATGACATAATAACATCTAAACGTTTGTGACAATGGAATATGTTTTCGGACATTATCCATCGCCCTGCCTATTTTGAAAAAACCGTCCGGTTCCTTTTAGTAGACAAGATTCCATCACACCTCTTTGCAGCACTGACGTGTAAATGAATGACAGGACATATGCTAGGCAAGTTGAATACTTATTGGAAAAGTGATTAATTTATCGTCTGGCTTCAACAGGCATGTACTATATGCACATCTGGCTGTTAGTCTATAAATAGGACTGGAATGAAATGTATCTTTATGCAAGCATGTGTATGCTTTTTGTTGTAAACTGGGATCCCAAGGAACTGCCTGTGAATGGTCGCGTTATCTTACGCAGCACTTAACATTAAGGCATTTAACATGGCATATCAACCTACGCATTTAAA